CTCCGCGCCGCCGCCGGCCTTGGCCGGCGCCGCCGCCACACGCACCACCGCGTCGGTGCCACCGCCGTGCACCAGGCCGCGGTCGACGGGCGGCGTGCGCTGCCGCTTGCCCTCCTCGAGCTGCGCGGGCGGCTGTGGGAGGGGCGACTCTGCTGGGTCGACTGCAGGGCAGGGGCCAGGGACGGGTGGGCGGTGTGGGGGTGCAGCGCAGGGTAGCGGCGGCGGCGGCATCGTGCCGGCAGCCTGGGCCAAGTGCCGGCAGCATGGGCCAGGTGCGGCACCAGGCGGCTGCTCTGTCTGCGACGAGCTGCCGCAGCGGGGCCGCCCGCGCGCGTCCTGCCCTTCTTCCCGCCCCCAGCCGCCGCTCACCCTTGCGCTTGCGCACGGTGGATGTGATGAGGCTGGTGTCTGGCTGCGGGCTGAGCGGGGGCTTGCCCGGCGTGAACAGATGCTCCTGCCGCGGCCGCATCATGACGCACGACTGGGCCATCTACAGCTGGCTGCTGCGGCCGCCTCGCGTGGCACGGTTGGGACGCGCGCCGCTGGGGCGCCTGGTGCCACGGAGCGCCCTGCCACGCGTGTGGGGGTGGCGCGGCTCCGCCTGGCTGCGCCGCCTGGCTGCTGATGGTAGCGCCCCGTCAATCTGGCGGGCTGGTGGGCTGCAGGCAGGCACAGCAGGACAGCAGCAGGCGCAGAGTTGGAGCGGCAGGCGGATGAAGCGAGGGCGGAGGATGGCGCGTGCGGGGCGCTGGTATCCTGATGGGAGGAGGCCCGCGCGGTGCCGGGCTTCCAGGAGGTTCCCAGGCACCAGGAGTATGCTGCTGCAGCAGCAGGTGCTGCCAGTCCAGAAGGAGGAGGGCCCAAGGTGTGCCCTCACAGTGTCTCTCGCGGCCGCCGCACCGCCCCGCCGCCCTCCGCACAGCTGCCGCTAGCAGCAGCAGTGGGCAGGCACCCGCCGCTCGGCGATCGAGGCAGCGGGCCAACATCCCGCGCCAGTGATCCGCCGGTGCTGCGTCGGCAGCAGCTCTGCCGCTGCCCACAACCCCTAGCAGCGTGCAGATTGCTGCTGCAGGGGCCTCTGCCCCCCCAGAGCCCCCGCTGAGCGCGCTTGCGCTTGGAGCCCCGCCGCCCAGCTGCCCCAGGGGACGCCTGGCAGTCCCAGAGCCCCGGCATGGCCAGCCATGCCCAACAATGGCGAACCAGCAGCGCCGCGGCGGCAGCGCGGGCGGGCAGCGCGCCCACCTGTGGCCTTGTGCCGTTTCAGGGCTTACTACGCTGCAGGACGTGTAACAGCGAACTGGGAAGGTGGCAGAGTCCGTGCAGGTCACGGCAAGCCCGTGTTTCTTCATGGCCGGCCTCCGCATGGGCTGCGCTTTTTGCCTGCAATTCAGTGAGTTGGCCATCGTCTTCTGCAAGATCGCAGAAGTCCAAATTCAGACAATGCTGCACCCATCCAGGAGCCTGTGTGCGCCAATCGATCACCCAGCTCTGTGTTGGCAGCAGCGGAGCAGCAGGGGTGCTCGGCACCATGGGCCAGGGGCAGAGCAGGTCGGTCGATGACCAGTTCTTCCTGGAGGAGAGCGGGGTTCGGGTGAGCTGCACACTTCCGCCTCTGCTGCCGCCCGACGAGGTTTGCGGCGTCCGTGGATGGCCGATTGACGTGGAAGAAGCTCCCTGTACGCTGCAGATCACACAGGGCCTGCTGGAGCAGCTGGACGGCAAGCCGCGGCGGGCGCCTCGAGCGGCAGAAGGCGGCGGCGGCGCCACCTCGCAGGCCCTGAGGTGGGGCCTCCCTGCCTGTGTTTACCCGTGCAGCAGGTGGCATCCGCCAGGAGATGCAAATGCTGCAGGCCCTATCCTGCAGCTGGGCAGGGCTGGCTGCAAACTGATCTCTGGCGCCCAGCCGCGCACGGCAGCAACCCCACCGCCACTCTCCCGCCTGGCGCCGCCCCCTGCAGGCCCCAAGATGCCGAGGTGGCGGCGCAGCAGGACCGCTCGCTGACCCGCGCGCTGGAGCGCAGCCGCCGCGTGGGCGGCCTGCTGCTCAAGGCGGAGGGCGAGGAGCTGCGGCGCATCGATGCGCTGGCGGAAGAGCTGGTAGGCAGCGAGTATGCGGCGCCCAGCCGGCCGCGACCCTGCAGCCAGCAGGCCGACGACTGCGTGCGCTGCTACGCCGACCACGCCGGTGACCCGCTGGCCTGCGCCGCGGCGGTGGACGCATACAGCGCGTGCGCCAAGGCGGCGTGGCAGGAGGCGTTGCAGCGCACCGCCGGGGTGTGAGCCCGCACCGCCCCCCCGCGCTGCCACGCCTTGCCGGCGCGTATTTTGTTGTCCACCCGTCCTGCCCCTGCTGTACCACCACACGCACTTGCACTGCACTGCCAAGATGATGCTCACGCCTCCCTTTTCTCCTTGGTACACACATTCGTTAACAGATTCGGAGTGAGCGGTTCTCACGTTGAAAACAAGCCAAGGCACTGGGGACAGACCGTTGCGGACAATTTACCAAAGCGGCTGGTGGCCATTTGTTGGGCAGGGGCAGAGAGTGGGGAAGCAAGTCGGGAGCAGGGAGGTGTTGGTACACGCCGAGCGTGGGGAGGGCGCTTGCAAATCAGCGTGGTGCTGCGTGATACACGGCTGGTTGGCGGCCGTCCAGACAATGGATGGATGGCAGTGCAGCAGTGATGGTTTTGAGGCATGGCACGGCGGCGGCAGGCAGTCGCAGGGCAGCTGCCGCGGCCGCCGCGGGTAAAACAATTGGGCAGAGAGGCGGGCGGCGCGTTGCACACGCAGCTAACTACCAGCATGGCAGGAAAGCGCGGGGCTTCGGCCGGCCAGCATAATGATGCTGTGCGGGATAGCATCCCCCTCCAGCATCACCCAATCTCAAAGTTGAGGGTGCGCAGATCCAGCACCAGGTCTCTGTCGAAGCCGGGGCCGCCGTTGAGCGGGCGCACCGCGCGCACGGGGGCCAGCACCTCCCACATGTCGCACCGCCAGCCCTGCGGCGCGGGGAGGCGGGGAGGCGGGCGGGCACAGCCGGGCGTCAGCACAGCCGGCAGCGCTGCAGCGGGCTGGGAGCTGCTGCCCCAGGGCGCAGCCGCTGGGTCCTGCTGCCGCCGCGCCGCACCATTGCGCGATGCCACCCGAGGGCCCCTCCCCTGCCTCCCAAGCCGCGCCCACCTGGCACACCTCCTCCAGCTGCTGCCTGTCCAGCACAGCCAGCAGCATGCGGGTGGTGCCGTACAGCTCGTGCGCCAGGCTGTACGCCTCGTGGCTCTCGGGAGGCACCGCACCCAGCACGCGCCGCACATCCTGCTGCACGTCATTGCGGCAGCTCAGGCGTATCACGCCGTCCAGCAGCGCACGCCTGCGGGGCAAGGGGTGGTGGGGGGGATAGGTCCTATAGGGGATAGGATGGGGCTGGGGTGGTGGGGTGCGGCCCCACAGCAGACAGGCCGCTGGCCAGGAAAGCAGCGGAAGGGAGGCGTGAATGGCAGCAAGCGGGCTGCTCGGGCAGAGCGCAGGCAGGCGGAGGGGCGGGCAGAGCGCAGGCGGACGCCCACCTCACTCCCGTCTCCTCTGCCGTCTCTGGCGTGCGGGGCCCCGTGGGCGCCTCCAGCAGCCCCTGCGCCACCATGCCCCGCCAGCCGCCGCTGTCCCACAGCCGCTGCATGCCCGCCAGGTGGCTGGCGCCCACCACGCCCACCACGCCGCCGCCGGGGCCGCTGCAGCAGCAGAAAGCGGCAGCGGGGGAGCGGCAAGGGGCGAGTCGTGAGCTCAAGCAGCCCCCGCAGGAGCAAGGCCGTGCGCCCTTCTCCCCGCCGAAGGGCTCCCAGCACACACACACACACCTGCTCCCCACCCACTCCGCCCCTGCTGCGGCGCAGCCACCCAGCCCCTCCCGCCACCTCCCGCCACCCCCCGCCAGGGCACTGCCACCCCCCCGCCACCACCCCACCGGCCACCCCCCTGCGCCCACCACTGCATGCTGGCGTCGTGCAGCGCCGACAGCATGACCGCGTCCCGCTCCCCCAGCAGCGCCGCCTCTGTGGCGTTGGCGGAGGCGAGCGCGCGGTGGTGCGGCGCCGCCTGGCGCACCAGGTCTGCATAGTTGCCGGCGCTCATGGCGCCGTACGCCTGATCTAGGTCGACTGCAGGCGGGGAGGCGGAGGGAGGGGAGGAGGCAGGGAGAAGGAGGGAGGAGGGCGTGGCATGGCGTGCGTTTGTGGGAGAGACGAGACGGGTGGGGCG